GTCATAACTGGAAGTTTTCCAAAACGAAAGCAAGATTTACTACATATTGCAAAAAATTGGTTTTAGTGCTTTAATACTTTACAAAGTAACAACCCAACTGCTAAAAACAGCTCTTACATGTCTTTCTTTGTCCAAGAATGGATCAGATTAAAAATAACATTGGACTTTAATCCGGATGACAATCACATGTAGAAAAAAGTTCTTGATCACTTGCATTTTGTTCAAAGCAACAGAATTCAGGCCCATTTTTTAACATTGATGGTCTTGTTGATCCACTCCCATCAAGTAAGAAATGGTGGGAAACTAAACACATGAGAAAACAGTATTGTTTTACTCAAAGACCGATGGTAATCAGTCAATCAAACCACAGATGAAGGGGAAAAGAATGTACCATTCACTCATTTCCACACAGGCTGAACACATATTTAAATGGACATGTCGAACACAGGGTAACCCAGAAAGTCACTGTGGCTTTAAGAAAAGCTTTTCTTCATTTCTTATGGTCACATCAATTTGCGTTAGTAGAACGATCTGCTAAAATTCTTGAAACTGATCAAGGGTAATAATAAACTAGGCTCAGCTCTGAAAAGGGCCAGATGGGGATGGTTTGGTTACTAAAAAGTTTAATTCTCCTATAGAGTCAGGCAAGTTTAATTCTCATTGTTCTAATATTTGCTTTATTTGTATATCTAAGAAAACCCTGTAACCCACCATCTAGTGAGGCATTTTATCTCTATCAGTGGGTACTTTGGATGCTTTTTGTTGGTATATGTATTGGTTTTCTTAAGCATTATTTGCAGTTCCTACCTTTTATCACTTCCATATACTAGCTTTGGGCATCATTTATTGGAAACAGCTCTTTCTTCTCTTCCCCTTCCCTCTCCCCCATAGTCCTAATCATGCTTAAGTTGCTCCAATTTCATTACCCAATGTACAGGATCTTTCAACCAAAGAAACATCAATGGGCATCCTCAAATGGTCACTTGATAGAAGGTTAAGTGATTTGGGGGTGGAAGAGAGAAGTGTAACCTCCTCAGCAAGAGTTCTTTTGTGAATAAGTAAAGGGAACAGGCTCACAGCAATCAATTTGGCAATAAAAGGTAAATCTTCAACTTAAGGTATTTAAGAAACAGGTTACATGCCCTTGAGTACATGTTTCAGAAAACCCACTGCTTTGTATTTTGGTTTAAGTCACAGACAACTGGATACTAGAAAAAACTCCGGTCAAGTCAGTGTCCAGAGGTGCCACTGATTTATGTCTTTTAAAAATGTGATCAATGGAATCAAGGCCAGAGATTAAAGACAGTTGGGAAGGCTTTGGAATGTGCCCCAGTCCATCCCAACGCCCTACAAAATATTAACAGTATTTTGCCATCGACCCTTATAAAAGACAAAATTTAGCCAAAGTATCCAGAAAAGAAAGCATCAGCAGATAGATTTTATAAAGGGTTTCACAGCAAAATAATCTTTACGAGAGAAGCTGGGCACTGTGGGAATACACTATTGGTCATCACATGAGAAGGCTTTAAAAGAGTGGAGGAGGGTAGGAATTACAAATTGGAAGCCTTGAGACAAGAGCCTGCCTTGTCTCTCTCTGGAGCTTCTTCCTTACTGAGATTTAAGCTGCAAAGTCCAGGTTGATAAGGCTGCGTCTGCTAGATGCCATAACTACCAGTTAAAAAGTGAAAAATCAGCCAGATTTGGGGCCTCAAAGATATTTATTTTGGTGTTCATCTACCTGGCAGCTTTCTCTTCCTATCAACCCTCCCACCCAAATAACCCAAAAAACAAAAACCCAAGCAAAATCAGAAAACAAAATTTACTGTTTGCTTGGGGAAATGCATGATTTTGCAGCCCATCCAAAAGGGTTGAAATGCAACAGTTCCAAAATCTAGCAGCTCTTCAAGTTTGCTCTTTGAACCTTTTGGGACAACTGCCTTGGGGATTGGTTCCTTGGGTTAAATGACATAGTTGTAAAAAGAATTCAACACAGTGCCTGACACATAACAAGCACTATATAAATGCTTATTTCTTTTCTTCCCCTCCCCTCCCTTCCCCTTGGAGAATGGCTCACAAAAGCCACAGACTAAATCTATGAGTATTTAAAAAAAAATTGGCTATAATGAATGGAAAGGCAAAGTGGAGCTGTGTAAAAAGCCTCAAGCCAGGAATCAAGAAATCTGGGCTCTGCCACTAGAATTTTGTGACCCTGGTCAAGTCACTTAACCAATTTGATTTCTTCATCTGTAAAGCAAAGGATTGGGCTTGATGTTTCCTAAGGTCCTTTCTAGCTTGCTCATATCTGCCTTCAATCCTACACCTTTTCTAGAGCAGAGGTTATTGGCCGGGAAGGGGGGGGAGGGAGGAAGAGAGAGAGAAGAAAGAAGAAGAGAAGAAGAAGAAGAAGAAGAAGAAGAAGAAGAAGAAGAAGAAGAAGAAGAAGAAGAAGAAGAAGAAGAAGAAGAAGAAGAAGAAGAAGAAGAAGAAGAAGAAGAAGAAGAAAGAAAAAAGAGAAAAGAAAGAGAAAGAAAGAGAAAGGAAGGAAAGAAGGAAGGAAGAAAGTGAAAACAAATGGGAGGGGAGAGGAGGAGGGAAAGGAGAGAAGAGAAAAGAGAAGAAAGAGAATCACAAGGAAGATTGACTCACAAGTAGCAGTGGGTTCCATTGATATGGTTACTGAGTCATTCTCAGCTTTAACTTTGGACCTCTAGGTAGACAGCTGAGCAATTGGCATTTATGGAGAGGTTTATTAGGGCAAAGTACAAATATTGACCACATCATCCACTTGATGCATCCATATTTATATTGCCATATCTGTTAGTTATCTATGACAGTCAAGTAGCATAGCCTAGAAAATGACTAGGTGTAAGGAGGCAGGTGGGAGGTAGGGCAATACAACTAGTTTGCCTGATTTAAATTCCCCACTTTTCGTGATAGCAGTACACTCTATGGATGGGAGCAAGGATGAAATTCCCTTTTTCAGTCATTTTAAGGGCTACAATATGATGGATTCTACTTTCGTTCTTTTTTGAACAACTTAAAAACTGTGTTGACATCCTGAAATAATGGGATTGACTGATTTTTTCCCCCACTAAATTAGCTGGTGTCTTGGAGAGACAGTGTAAAACTGGGTTGAAATCTTATTTGCATTCCTTGGCTTCTGCAGAATGAAGTGAGTTTTATTGTTCACAGCAGGTATATTTGTAAAGTTCCTTGAGGCACTCTCCCCAGAGGGAATAAAAAAAATGGTGACATTATCAACATAATGCATTGCTTCCATATAGACAGGTTTACGGTTCATGTTTTTATATGGATGAAAATAAAAACATAGAGACAATTTCTCATAATTGTTTTTGCAAGAGAAAATGAAAAGCTGAGTACCTGACATTGTACAGGGGCAGTAGCTTTTGAATAGCTCCTGCAACTGGAAGCATTTGTTTCAGCCTTGATGACTGAAAGCATTATCATGATGCTAACGAAGAGAGGAAAGGGCAACAGGGATCAGTTGCTCCTGAGTGGGCTTAGCGCAGCGCTTGGCTGAAGCCCCCTGTATACTCCAGACAAAATAGGAGGGGAGGATGGGATATTGAGGAAGACCAAGCAAGAGTGGCTGCATCTGGCCTTAAGTTTTCAAGAATGATTTGCTGCTGACTTTCTACAGGCTGCTGTTGACCCCTGTGAAACTCCTTGTGAAAGCAGAGCATCACTGACGAAACATTTCACCCCAGTATGGGATGTGGCTTTCTGGAGATGGGGGCTTGCCAAAAAAAGAACTCAATGTCTGGCTACACATCCGGAACAATTGATGTTCTGAGTTTTTGCAGGAGGACAGACCCCTTCTCCCACTGCTTATGGACATGCTAGTAAACGTTCTTGACTAAGACTTGGCCAGGGTTATGGGGGGCCTTGACCCAGATGCCATATTTGCTTGTGCTCCCTTTCCTAGCTTGTGTGTGTGTGTCCTATGGGAAAGCATAACTTTCTAGAAGGGTTACACTTGTCTATGACATCCCCAAAGTATTTCAGCAGGAGACAGAACAGAAGCCAACAGAGCAATGCGTAAGTGGGGTGACTAAAAGTATTTACAGCCATGATTATAGAGGAGGTGGGGACTGCGGCTGTATCTTATTAAATGACTTCCAGTCCCCAGGGAGTCACAACTTTAAGGCTGTTTGGAACTGGGTGGCTGCTAATTGCCTTGGACCTTCCTCAGTGAGAATGTACACCAGCCATTTAGATGTCCTCAGAATATGTAGTCCCTGCAACACAGGTGATGGAAAAGATTCTGTGACTTGGAACTACATGCTCATTTTTCAACAAGTCCAACCTCCCACAAAAGAAGAAACACCAAACACTCGGGCAAGAAGTAATGACAAGGGTTAAGAAATAGATCGATAATAGATATTTGGGTTGGCTAAGGTGGGGTTCTCTATATTTGGGAGGCTGCTCTTATTTCCCCTTCAATTACTTGTAGTATCATAAAATTTCTATGAAAATAATCTACATGAACCACAGCAGACAAAAATTAAAAAAAATGAAACAAGACATAAAGATGCAAATACATGCAATACAGTCACATCTTTCCCTCTGGATATTAACACACAAATGAGACAGTTTCCCAACTTTCCATAAGAATAGGTGGGATATTTTTTCCTTGTAGTTTACCTACTGTTGATTGTGCAAAAGCCTTTTTAGTTGCCTAATCATGTGAAATATATATTTTATGGGCCCATTTGATTTTAGTGAAGTATGTTTATGAATCCTAAATGAGATTTTAGAACAAGTCAGGCTTCCAGGTTGTGTGGCTGAATAGCCATTTTCCCAAGAGTCTTAGAAGAAGTAAGGGAAGGTTATGAATTCAACCTCCTAGCATGATTTCTTTTCCCCAAATATTTTGGGGAGGGGGGCAGGGAGAGGAAAGGGTGCACTTAAAAATTCACATCATTTCTAAACGCAAGTCATTGCAAATAGTCAGTATATCCACTTTTAGAAATCACATGTAGGGATTCAAATTGCTCTGGATCCCAGTTAAGCCATCTGGGAGTGAACATTTATTTAGGTAACAAAAACTCCACGATAATTTAAGGATTCTGAAGCTTCTTGTTACAAGGGAAAAGTAAGGGACAAAACTTTACCAACTGAAAAAAAAATCAAGCTTTTCAATGAAAGACATTTGCATGTTCCACCTCTCAATAGATAATTCAGCACACACAAAAAAATAGCATTCAGAACTCTAGAGAACACCGTATAGCTCTCTTCTCCTGGTTAAATGTCTACATAACAATTCTCAAGTTACCCCACTTATGTGACAACCCTGTTTATAATAAAGACGCAAAATATTGCTCTGTGGCATATTTTGAAAATAATATAAAAATAATTTCTATATTACAATTTAAACTTGGCTTGTAAAATATCAACATAATACAGCCTGAAATCTACAAACAGAATACACGTACAAATACCCTCCTTTAACAATAGACCTTTCTTTTCTTTTAATCATATACACAGGTAATAAGTGTGCAAATAAATGTTAAGCAAATTACTGAAACGTCCTCTATTGTGTTTTATGAATATTTGGTGAGCCTCTTTGAATCTTGCTGTTATATCAATAAGGACACCAGATAAAGAGTTAAAACAACCCAGTGGACCAAAGCGGAAGTGGACCACCTGCAATCATTTGCTACCTCGGTGGGGGCTTTGATCACCTAATTATGGCAGTTCCTCTGGAGAAAGGGGTCTTCCCCCTAATGATGCTTACTATCTTTCTAGAGAAAAATATTACCTATTTATCATCCTCTTTGTTATCCCCTTTTTTGCTTCCAAAAGTAAAAATAAACCATAGAATCTTAGAGGTATGATCATCTACTCCCACTCCCTCATTTTGGCTGATGAGGAAACTGGGACCAAAAAACTTAATGACTTGCCCAGGGTCACGCAGCCAATCAGTCAGAACTCAAACCCAGATCTCCTGACTCCCAAGTCATTAATCTTTCCACCATACTGCAGTGGCACTTTTCTAAAAAATGATTATGCATTCTAAAAATGCATCTTGTAGCAATAAACTGTTTTTTTTTTTACTGGTTCACATTCAGCATGATATCATAATTTAGTCAGAAAGAACCCCTGGCCAGGGACCTAGCCTAATTCTGTCTTTTATGCAGCATGCAACATATTGGTGTCCAGGATTATTAAATTATAATATAAAAATAGGTTTTTTTCCTTTTTTCTTTTTTGCAAATACTGTTGGAAGGATGGCTCTCAAGAAAAAGGATAGAAGATACAACTATTTTATGATGTGAAATGGATGACTCAATCAACAAGCTTTAATTAAGTGCCAGGCACAATGTCTGGACTTGATCAGTGCCATCAGGGCCTATACCAGGCATAATCAGTATGCTGGCTTGACCAGGCCATGTTGTCTCGGACACAGAATGTTTTTGTGGTGAGACATGTCTAAAACCTTAGCTAGGGGGTAGATTTAGAACTCTTTCCAAAGTAGTTTAAAAAAAAGCCTTGGGGGACTCTCTTTCAGTACATCAAAGATGGCAGTGGGGTAGGGGTGAGATTTATTTTTAATTTCAAGGGAAAAGACTAGGCTGCCACATTCTATTAGAAGTGACAGAATTAATTACTCCAAATAAATTTAGAATTTCCTGTATTACAATGGACCTTTTTTTTTTGAGGTGGTGGACACAGGGAAGAGGGGATTCTATATTTGTTTAAACCAGGCAGAGTGCATGAGAAAGGTAAAACATTTGCATAGCAAGTTTTGTCTTTGAAAAATTTGACAGGCAGAAGAACTGTACAATTAGAAAATAAGAAACAATCATCGACTTTGTTTTATGCTCTTGTGGCCCTGGGGTGCCTGTGAGGCTCCTAACCATTTCTGGAGGTGTATTCGAGCATCATTAAGGTTAGCTGTCGAATTTGTGTTTAATCTCATTAGAAGGATCAGCCATATGTTTGTTTATCTCTGTCTACATCTGGATTCTACAAATGAAGCAACCATTTTCCTCAACACAGTACACTAGGGTCACAAAGCGACAGTTCTGGCCTGAACAGATGAGATAAATCCAAAGAGCTGCTGGAAAACCCTTATACCAGAGTTTAAAAAAGAAAGAAAAAAAATATTTTTTTCTTTCCTTCTTTTGAGTAACAAAAACTGTAACAGGAGAAACATATGCCTTATTAATTGTTACACATTCAAAGTATTGTTCAGCATGAAAATTAAAATTTTCAAAAAATTTCCAGTAAAGTTTTTTTTTCTATTTACTAAAGAATTTTGACTCAAGGAATTGTTCATGTAAAACTCCAATAACTTGCAGAAAACCTCACATGCCGCAGAATAAAAAAATTAATTACTCACAGGAATTACTCTATTGTAATACTTAAAACAAGTAAAAAATGTATCGCTTTTTTTCATTTTTTTTTTTTGCTGTTAGTGTTCCTTTTTAGCATCTTCTCCAGATGTGAAGCAGTTGGCTCAAATAAAGAGACAGCTCTACCTGTCATTTTTTTTTCCTGAGGCTTGACATTGTCATGACCTCGTACAGAAGCAGTTGTCAAGGGGTAAGTGCTATTCTAAGGCTCTAAGAGTACTTCCAATTTTTTCTTTTGTCATTGAGGTTTCGGTCCCTTGTTTATATTCCTCAGAAACAAACAAGTTCTAATATTTGATTGGAATGGTAAGTTTTGATGTCATCCATTCCCTTGGCTAACAGCTGTCATCACTAGAGGTAACCCATGAAAGGACAATGGGTATTGCTGTACAAAAGAGGGTTGCTAAGGATACACTTTTGAGAAATTTATGTTTCCTATGGGAGGCACCACACAAGAAAAGGGAAAATTTAATGAGTGTTGGCCTTGGTCTCATCATCCTATGGTCAAAAACTGCTACGGGATCTAAAATATCTGGTGTTGGTTCTATAAATTCAGCACAGAATACTCTGGCTTTGGCCTGAATTAATCAGAGAGGAATATTTCTCCCTCATTACCTATTCCACCAAATTCTACTTCAAATAGGGGTAGGGAACTCCGTTACCATTCATGTTTCAAAGCCAGTCTCCATAATGAACTCACAAGCCGACCTCTGTCCAAGCAAAAATGACTCCCCGACCTGCTATCTGCCACAACCTTGGCTACGAAAGTTTTCCACATGCCCATGGTCAAAAGTCCATTAAAAAAAAAGTGGTCAAATTAAAAATCTGAGTGGACTGGTATCATTTTGCTCATGTACCATGATGAGTTCATTGACCACCTGCCTTTGTGGTGAATGGCAGGAATTTCATCCTGTTTCCCTCTTGAATAGCTCCTGTCATCTGAAGATCTCCAAGCAGCTGACAGACTTGAGCAGAAACCTCACAACACCCCTGTGAGGTAGGTTATAGTGTACCCATTTTAGAGATAATTGGGCTACTTTTGATGGCAGTGTAAATGTTGCCTCTAGACAGATGAACATGATAAGAGGGTTTGCTTATGAGATGAAACCTTATATTCCTAAAGGGTCAATGACAATGATCATAATGTCAGAAATAGTCAAAAGGTCTTTCTAGCGCCCCCCCCAACAAGATTGAGTGGGGCAGTAGGAGGAAGCAAAAAACCCTCTGTTTAAACTTGCTAACAAGCATACCCAGCAGAGCTACCAACACAGACCTTCTCTTCACATTTTCTTTCTATATAATGCATTGGTAATTGAATTCGTACAAACATCAACTAGTGTGGAAGATGTCAGTCACCATGTTTTTAAAAAAAAAGTATGAAAAATTATCCCCTTATCAAAACAAAGGGCTGTGGAATTTATTTATTTTCTTGGGGAACACAAAGATTCTCCTGATGGCTATTGGATCTTCAACATGTATGAGGCAGATGCTTTCCTAACACATCATCACATCTCCAATATTATGACTTTTCCCTCTATCCTTCTACTACCTGAGTGACATCAGCATAAGTTCAGGCACCATTAGTGATTTCTGACCACACATAGACACAGCACTGACAAAAAAAAAAGGGTAAACAACCTTTCAGCTGACCAGGGTGTGTAAAAAAGACACTGACAAAATGGAAAATAAATTCTTTATGATAAATTCATCTCTGATTTCTGTGTTTTCCCCAAACAGAAGCCACAAGCCTGACAGTGACTGTCACTCCCTTTGGGAAGGACTGGCTTTCCTCTGTTGTCCACCACCTTTTGCCATCATAAGAAAAAAAAAATGATGAGACTAATTGGTTTTGGAAGAGCCTCAGAAGTCTTCAGTGCCGGTGTCCTTTGGTCTCTCTCTCCCTTCGCTTGAGCTCCTCTTTGTAGCAGTAGGAACAGTAGTTTTCAGTCTCTGGGCGACCATAAAAGGAACAGTTCTCCTTCTTACAACGGTTCTGCTGAATGGAATAGATGGGGCAAACTGTGCTTCGGCCTCTGTTTTTATCATTGTTCAACCATGTCTGTGGTGCTTCCTCATCAGCATATTCTAAGCAGTCTCTAATGTCACCAGTGTTAAAGCCATTGGTGTATGTCTGGGACTTGTGTTCTGTGGGCAGGGCATAGGTCAAAGATTCCACTGTGTTCACTGTGCGGATGCCCGCAATACGGGCGGGGCTATAGCTCTGTGATGACAGGGATCTATTCTGCTGGGGGTATGTAGCACAAGTTTTGAGAGTGCCAACCACTGGCTTGTAGGTATCATCCTGGAAGCTGGACGGCTTGGAGTTTACATCATGCAAATGGATCACGCTTTGCCTCTGGACTGGTGGAGTATGGCTATAGTGGGCGGAAACGGGAGTGGGGCCATTCCTCTTTGCACTGTTGCTAGGGGAAGAAAATGACCCTGGGGTGGGACTGGTACGGTCTTTAAATTTTAAAACAAGTTGAGTTGTATGGCTTTGAGGCAAGACTGGTGATGCCCTGTCCTGAGGGGACGATTCCAGTTTTTCCTTGGAAAAGGCCTCTTGTTCCAACTTCCTGCATGAGGACCCACCGAGTGAGGCCTTCTTCTCCGCCTCTTTCCGCTTCTGTTCCTGCTCTGCGTTGAAGCGCTCCTGAGCGCTCGTCAGGTAGTAACCAATCATTTCCTCGTGGAATTGATGCCGGTGACTGGTCAGGAGGAGACCAGCAAAGATGAACTTACGCTCGCCTTGCATGGCAGCTCTCAGGATGTTAAGGCTTAGCTTCACATCAGTGCTATACTTCCATGGGTCTGACTGCTTATCTGAGAGAGTCTTGGTGTTTTTCTCAATGGGAGACACACTTGCCTTGTCGGTGGGAGACGGGGTGTTTTTTTCTGAGGGGGATGTGCTCGCTGACTGGCCTGACTCCTCTTTGCTGCCTTTTCGAGATTTGGACTTCTTCTCCTTGACTTTATCTGTCCCATCGCCATTCTTCCCATTCCCTGAATTGGCTCGACCCATTTTCCCATGGACCAGCCCACCGAGGCCTCCCATGTTCTTCTTCAGTTTGATTCCAAGGGTTTTGCTGAGACTCCCCAGCTTATTGGCCACAGAATCGGTCCTGTTCTTGTCCTTTTCCTTTCTCTGTTTGTCCTTCTCTTTTTCTTTCCCATTCTTCCCATTATTGCTATTGGAATTACTACAGATGGAATCTCGGTCTGAGTCCATGGAGTCAGCCAGAGACTGAACATCCTCTCCTGCTGAAGCTGTAGGAGATTCAGGCTGGGCCAAAGGAGCCTAAACAAGAAGAATTAGGAATAAATGAGATCTGAGAAAGACCATTGTTGAGGAAAAAGCTTAATTTAAACCAAAAACAACAACAACAATAAAATCCCTCTTCATCTCGCTGTGCTTTTGACCTTCAAGGCTATCCTCTAACTAGTCTCTACATACTGTTTAATTAGTCTCTTTTTTTGCACACAGGACATGAAGTACTTAGAGGAAAATCTAGAGGGACAGAAACATGATCTATTTGTCAGCAGTAATAAGCAGAGTTTTTGAGAGGCATGACCGAAGGCGTTTATACTAATGCACTGTAGAGACCCTATAATCTGCATGTTAAATTAGCAGGATTGCTGCCATCTGACTACATTTCTGAAAATGGAGCTTGGGTTTCTTTTCTTCTTTCTTTCTTCAGTGAAATCATAAAGGAGGTTGCTTAGGAACACAGGAAAGTTGGGCTTTTTTTTGGGGGGAGGGGTTCGGCAAAGGGAGCTGCATCTGTAACAGTGACCCTTGAATGACCAAGCCTCTAAAGGGTAATCACTGTATCAAGATATAGAGCCTCCCAGATCCCTGCACACTTTAGGGAACTCAATCGACTTGGGCCAGAAATAGTCACACTATGCTTTAAAGCATGCTCAGACTGCTTCCTTCTTGTCTTCCCCTATCCCTACCCCCACCCCCTCCCCCGAAGACTGGACAAGAAAAACTTATGATTCTAAATACAGGTTTACAGGATTGTAGAATTAGAACTGGAAGGGACCTCAGACGTCATCCAGATCAAAACCACCCCCACCCCATTTTACAGAGGAGGAAACTGAAGGCCAGAGAGGGGAAGTGATTTGTACAAGGTCATAGAGGTAGTGATTAGCAAACTCAGATCTCCTGACTTCAATTATCTAGCACTCTTTTTGAAGCACCATATTATCCATCCATCCATCTATCCATCCATCCATCCAGCAAAATGTTTCTTGAGCACCTCCAATGGGCAAAGCAATAGAGTAGATACTAACAAGTCAAGGCAGACATATTCTCTGTCCTGAAAGTACTTATAATTTAGCTAGGGAGAGAAGACATAACTAATAGGTAGAAAAGATGACTAATATAGGAAAAGTATCAATACCTGTGGTGGTAAAGGTAGTAGAAGAATTCAGAGGAAGAGGCATGTGGTAGGAGTGATCAAAAAAGACTTTTTGGACTTGGGTCGAGAAAGATGGAAAGGTTTTCAATAACTAGAGATTGGGCAGAGGGCTGGTGAGGGAGGAGGAGCTGCAAGTAGAGGGGCATTGTGAAATAACCCCCAAAATACAAGGTATAGTCTTAGGACTAATTTTAAGGGCAGATAGATATAGTTTAAAGGTAAAAACCCTAGTAAAAATCCCTACACAAAAAAAATATCTTTCCTCTTACCTTACATGGTACCAGAAATTTTACCATTAGAGATTTACTCCTCTGGTTCAGTAATTGGCTTTTTGATCTTTCAGTGTCCCTTATTGCTAATACTCCTAGGATATGGCATCTTAAACTAGCATCTAATTAAAGATTCAATTCTTGTTAATTACCACAATTAATAATAACAACAGCTAACATTTACTTATTGCTTTAAAGTTAGCAAAGAACTTTACATGTTATCTCATTTGATTGTCACAAAACCATGTGAAGTAGGCACTAATATTATCCCCATTTTACAGATAAGGAAACAGGAACAGGGGGTTTAAATGACTTGCTTAGGTTCCCACAGCTTGGAAGTATTGCAGGCAGGATTTGAACTCAAGTCATCTTGATTCCAAGTCCACACTCTATCCACTGTGTGGCTTAATACAGGACTCTGAGGGTCAGGATCACCGGATATATTCCAGAACAAAGAAAGGCTCGGGGAGAAGAGATGCTAAAATTTAAGTAGGGGAAATAGAAGGGTCTTGAAGGGGAAAGTAAGAGGAAGCCAGAGACTAGTTTCACTGTGATAGAGGCTCATAGAGTTAAGGGCAAGGCACTCACTCCATTGACTGCTCCTAGAAAGACTCTATATGTAATTAACTCATGACACCTGATGGCTTCCACCAGTGACATTTCAAGATAAGACTTGAAAGTGTTGGGAGGTAAGCCCATTTCTCCCCTCTGAAGGATTCATAAGACCAGAGAGGTAGAGCTGGATTGGTCCCTTAAAGGTTATATAGTTCAATCTCTTCATTTTACAGATGAGAAAAGTCGGCTTAGCTTTATTTTTTGTTTTTGTTTTTTTTCAGTTAAATGACTAGCCCAAGGTTACATATGTGTTAAATAGCAGGATATCAGTCCTCGTACTATGACTCTAAACATAGCATTCTTTCCACTGGACTATGCTTAGGCAGCTAGGCAGGACAGCTAGGTGGCACAGTGGATAGAGTACCTGGCCTGTAGTCAGGAAGACTCATCTTCCTGAGTTCAAATCTGGCCTCAGACTCGTATTAGCTGTATGACCCTGGGCAAGTCATTTAACCCTGTTTGCCTCAGTTTCCTCATCTGTAAAATGAGCTGGAGAAGAAAATGGCAAACCACTCCAGTATCATTGCCAAGAAAACCCCAAGTTGGGTCACAAAGAGTAGGACAGGACTGAAATGACTCAACAAAGTGCTCAAGCAATAACAGTACCCACCTCCTTCCCATCTTTTCTGGTTTATGAAGAGGGAAGTCTTGTCTAGGGGCCAAGAGGAAAGCCAGCTCTCCTGGGCAGCATGATGCCATGGGATGTGGAGTGGGAGTTCTGAGTCTAACCCACAATTTTAGAGTAAACCTCCTCACAACACTTCTACCTCTGAGCCCTGCCTTGATGTGATGAAGCCTAAGGGCATTAAAACAGTCTACAGTGGCCACTCACAGTAAACCAAGTCTGAGGCATAAGGGAACAAACCCAGATTGGAGTCTAAGGGGGCTGAAGGAAAAGATGAGTGTCTAAGGTGTACTTCAAGGAACTTCAGAAATGACTTAATCTGAGACCCTTATTTTAATGATGAGCCTCAGAAGTGAAGAAACTTGCCCAAGGTCACATAGCTAGAAAGCTACAGGACTCCAGTTTCATTTTCCTTACTTTCCACTACACTATACGACATCATTCTCCCCTAGACTCCACTAATTAAATTAAAAAGTGGCAAATAAGTCAGATCCTTAAAGTAAACGGCACAAATAATTGTCAAGGCAGGGATAGCAAAGAAGTCCCCGACTCTGCCTACAAAGGGATGGGATGACTTCCCCAAGGCAGTCTAAAGGCCATACTTTTACTTCCCTAGCTCTGATGCCTATCTTCTTCAAATCAGTGACCTAGCTGGACAAAATTTTACATCTAGAAAGAAAGTGCCACCTACTGGGAGAAGGAGGATATTCACAGAATTTGTCTTTCATTCCTGCCCCTTCCACCCGCCCCCGTCCACCTCCCATTATTCACACAAACACACAAAGCTTATAATTAATTCTTCTACAAGGGAGCACAGCATGTTCTGATCTTGGCAGAGAGATATTTCTATGTTGTGACTTGTCTAAAGCCTGTTGTCTGAGCAAGCATGCTTTTCCTCTCCTTTATATTTAAAAAAATAAATAAATAAAAAGAAAGAAAACCAGCAAACCCCCCCCCCATTTACTTAGTAAATAAACACACATATATACACTCACACAAAATCAGGGGCTACTTGACCTAATTCACATCCTATTCCCCGAAAAGAAGACAAAAGGACCAATGATATCTTTGTTATACACTCAGTTTTTTGTTTTCTTTTTTTATCTTTTTTTTATCTTCTTCCATTCATTATGCATTCTTCCATGCAGCTCCTCTTTCTTCCTCCTCACAACCTCTGGTAAGAGTATGAAGTGAGGTGGGAAGGGGGAAGGATGAACAGTCCCCGTGGGAAGATGGGAATTCGGAGGAGAGCTGTTAATCTCTCTTCTAACAAGGGGAGCCTCTAGAGGAGGGCACTTTGGGGAAGCTTCCTTGGGAAGGACAAGTCCAGACTAGGACAGGACAGTCATTAGGGGAAGAAGCTGAGGAGAGAGCAATGGAGCCCAGGCTAGATGTGTTCGTTCCTGAAACTCATGCTCCTATTGTCAAGCATTTTGCCTCTGACGGAGAATACCAGGAGGTACTTGCTTCTGTCTAGAGATGAGAGGCTTACCCGGGTTTCAGAGGGGATGCGGATCCAAGTGACATTCATGTAGCTGTGCAGAAGGTTCAGCTTGGCTTCTAGGGACAGTATCAGACTGAGGAGTTTGCGGAAAAAATAAAGGAAAACACATACAAAATGAGTCTCAAACATGTCAGATGTTAAACTCCAATTAAACACACCCTCACTAGCGTGCACACACACACACACACACACACACGCGTGCGCGCGCATACACACACACACACACACACACACACACACACACACACACAGAGCTACATCTCTCCCGCCCAAGGCTTTCTGCATCTGTTAGGAGAAAATGGTCTGACATCCTACACGTTCTCATGAATTACAGTTACTCACTGGCCCCCTCTTAGAATAGACAGGTATGGGCATTTACCCCCTACCCACCCAAAACTGGACTCCACATCACTCACTTCCTCTTCCCTTTTACCATTAGGGGGAGGGAGATGTGAATGGGAAGGAAGACTATGTGTCCAGGGATGGGGGAAAAGGCTTACTTGGCTAATCTGGCGTTATCATTGTCATCCTTTCCCCATTCCCAGTCCTTCCCAGGATCAACTGCAAAGTGCAAAGGTAGTAATTTGTGTTCAGAGTCGGTGAGAGGGATGACCGCTAACGGAGAGAAAAAGAGATAAACAAATGAAAAGAGGTATTCCATTTTGGTGATATGGAAGTATGATTCAGAGACCATTAGATAGAAAGAAAAAACATGGAACCTGGAAACCAGCTGCTTCTTCTCTCAGGCAAACGTGATATATGAAAAGGGGGCATGGTCATCCAGTAGACAGGCCTTGAACTTCCCACCGGGAAGGTGTGTGGGGACTGAGGAGTGGGGAGAAACTTTTCCATTAGTGGACATAGACCTGTTTAATCCTTCCCTTCCTTTCCCTTTTCTCAGATCCCCGGCAAATACAGGAAAAACAAAAGCTGCTTCTTTCTAGGGACATGCAAATAGTTCTTTTGTTATTTAGCAGGGGATGGGCCCTTACAGATTTTATTTTAAACAGAGCTAAGGCCCCAGACATCTTTTATAATTAACCTTTGATTGCAGCCAAATGGAAGCTATGCAGCTCAAGGCCTCAATCTTCGCTTTCCTTAGCAGAATTTGCAACTTGAAAAGATGTGGCCTTGAAGCTAAAGATTCTCTGGTGATTAGTCTTCCACTGGGATAGAGGGTTTGCAGGCAGCAGGTTACCCACAAATCTCTTTGAGTTATAGTCAATGACAGAGCAAGATCCCTTAGGATACCTACATGCCAAGACTATAGATATTTTCTACCTATGTTTCAAAGAGGAAAAGGTGATTAAGTACTGTGTTAAAATAATTTCTTTATGTTTTCTGAAAAATCTCTTTAATTCTCAGAGCACAGTAATTGGGGTATAAATATCCAAATTCATAAGATCAAATCAGAATTCTGCCCATGTTTCCTAGTCATTTCACAAAGAAAGTCAGGGTGAAAATATACGTGATAGCTCAAAGGGAGAGGAAGAAACAAAGTCAGTTTCAACTCTGAGAGCCTTCAAGAAAAGAGTGAAAGTGGATGCTAGGTAAATCGATTGATATGAATGAGATAAATATGAGACACACATATGTAAAGCACTTTGCAAATCTTACAACCTATATAAATGGTATTATTGTTACTGTTTTTAGTAGTTAACTGCATAAGAAAGTTTCCTGTAGAGTTAGGCAAGGAAGTAGCACCAATGAATGAACAGATCTGCCTCCTGGGAAGACTTGAGATCATTCTGTTGGTCATCTAGGAATGCCTGATTCTCTTTGCCCTGTGATACACTGAGCTGCAAGCTAAAATAAGCCCGTCACACCAAAACTACCTTTTATTTATTATACCTGTGGACTCCTCAGACTCCTATACCTTACATAGGAGAGTCTGCTACTTAAATTACTTAAATTAAATTACTTAAATCATAGTGCTTGACTAGGAAATGCTAGTTTGGCTTAGTGGCCTCCACCCTTACCTTTCCATTGTGGATTTCTAGTGGATACATACATACATACATACATACATACATATGTGTGTATATATGTAGGAAAATATATGTATATATCCACATGTATATTTTATATACATGTGTATATGTACATAGATGTAGATAGCTATAGGTACGTGTATACATATACCAATTTGAACTCTATAGCTTAGGCTTCGCTAGGTTCATGTCGAACAAAATCCAACTGTGGTAATCATGAAGAAATTCGCCTTTAGTATTGCTTGATTCTAACATTGGACACTGTTGGGGATAGAACCCTATACCTGGAGTCAGAAAGGCCTGAGGATGATGATGATGATAATGTCAGGATACCCTCTTCTATGTGGATTTGTGTGATGCTACTTTTATCTGTCAACCATTCCTTTTCAGTCTTATTTACTGGTTCTTCACCCATCTCATGACCAATAACCATGGATGTTGCCCCTACCCCCCCCCCCGATTTTGACTTGGCCCCTCTTTTCTTTTCCCTTTATAGTATCTCACTTAGTGATCTCATTAGCTTCCATGGGTTCAATTATCATCTCTCTGTTAATGATTCTCAAAGCTCTATATCTAACCTTAAACTGTCTCCTGAGCTCCAGTCCTACATCACCAAAGGCCTCTTGGACATTCAAACTGCATCTCCCATAAGCATCTCAAAATCTCCAAGTCCAAAACATTTCCCTTCGACCCTATTTTCCCAGCTTCCTTTATACTTTTTAGGTTAGCCCAGGCTCACAGCTCATCCTCAAATCCTTCTTCTAATTCAACCCACATACACAATGCATTGGCAATCTTATCAATTCTACCTTCAGAACATCTGTCATCTAGGTCCCCTTCTTTCCACTCACAGTCACCACTCTAGTTGAGTTCTTCATCACCTTTCATCTGACTATTGGCATAGCTCTCTGCCAAGTCTCCCTGCTTCTTGTTTGCTCCGGTACATCGTCCTCTAATCTGCTGCCAAGGCAATTTTTCTCAAGTGTAGGGTCTGAATATATCTCTCCCCTCCCCCAATCAATGGGTTCCAGGATTAAATACAAACTTGTCTGTTTAGCACTTAAAGTTCTTCTATCCTGTTTTCTTTCTACCTTTTTAGACTCCTGACATGTCCCTTCCCTCCATATACTTTGTGATCTAACAACTTGGCCCTCTTGTAACTCTTCAAACATAGCATTCCATCTTCCTGTCCATCCTTTGCACTGGTTGTCCCCTAAGGCTTGAATGCTCTGCTCCCTCCCTCTACGTTGTGGTTGCCCTGGTTTCCTTCAAGATTCAGCTCATGTCTTACCTTTTGCAGGAAGCCTTCCCAAGTCCCCTCTACCTGCTAGTGCCTTCTCTGCTCAGCACAGTGCCTGGCACACGGCAAATACTTAGCAAATGCCTTTTTCATAGGATCATAAGATTACGTGATCATAAATTTTGAGCTAGAAGGGACCTTAGAGGTCATTAAGTACCACCTCCTCATTTTTTACAGATGAGGAAACTGAGGCCCAAAGAGGTTAACTCACTTGCCCAAGGTCATACAGAGAGCAAATGTCCGAGATGGGATTTGATCCCAGGTCTTCCTAATTCTGAACTCAACTTTCTATCCACTATAGCAGCAATTCTTGAAGTTTTTGTTTCTAGTACTCCCTTCACTTACTTGAAAATTACTGAGGATTCCACAGAGTTTTTATGAAGATCATGTGTATCTGACTGATAGACTGATAAAACTGATATAATTTTAAAATATTTATTTCTTACCTCATTAAAAATAATAAACCCATTATATGTTAACACATTTTATGAAATATGTACTATATAAAACGTTAATAAATAATACAATAAAATAACAGAATACTAAATATATCATAATACATAATATAACATAAGATATATGATATCTTATACAATAAACTATATAAGATATAATATAAAAGAATATATCACGTATAATAAATAAGAACATAGTTTTATAAAAATAAATATTTTCCAAAACAAAAAAAAAATTAGTGAGGAGAGTAGCATTGCAAATCTCTAACATCTATCTTAATAGAAGACAGTTGGATTCTTATATAATAATAATAATAAATAATAGTAATAATAGCTAACATTGATGTAGTGCTTACTGTATCCCAAGAACTGCACTAAGTGCTTTACATTTATTATCTCATTTGATCTTCACAATAACCCTAAGAGGTAGATGCTATTATTATCCCCATTTTACAGATGAGGAAACTGAGACAGGCAGAGGTAAAGTGATAGGCAGCTAGGTGGCTCAGCGGATAGAGTGCTGAGCCTGAGGTCAGAAAGATCTGGGTTCAAATCTGCCCTCAGATACTTACTAGCTGTATGACCCTGGGCAAGTCACTTAACCTATTTGCCTTAATCCACTGAAGAAGGAAATGGCAAACCACTCCAACATCTTTGCCAAGAAAACTCCAAGGGCGGCATTGGCGTGGTATGGTCCACAGAGTCCTAAGAGTCAGAAAAGACTGAACAACCACAATAAGTGTCTGAGGCTGAAATCTGAACCCAGGTCCTTCTGATGCCAAGCCCAGCCCTCTCCCCACTGTACCATCTAGCTGCCCAAATCTGCTTCGGCATTCAATTCACGACAATATGCCATTCTGATTGAAATACATGAAGATTAATCAGCTTCATACAGCTACATAATTGGAAAAGGGAGGAGTATTTTAATAGGCAAATTAACATCTGAATATTATCATGAAATTATTTTGACCTCATAGGCAACCTGAAAAGGTCTCAGGGACCACCAGGGGTCCATGAATTATACTTTGAAAACTGCTGAACTAGACCTTGCTGTCTAATAATTAACTGATGAAGATCCTTCTTCTGAGGTTTACTAGCTGTGTGACCATAGGAAGGTCATCCAAATTCTCAGGGCTCAAGATCTCTTGTAGCTGTAAGCTGATGATAATGATGGAGGCTATGATGATGCTATGATCAGTTTTCTCAGCTGCAAAATGTGAAAATCTGTTATCTATCTTTTACATCCATAGCTTATTGTGAGGTTCAAAGGAGACAATGTAGGTAATATCCTTTGTAAATATATAAATACCAGCTATCATCCTTGAGGCAAGTAATTCCTTCATGTCTATGTGCCGAGCACCTGGCCCTGTTCCTTGAACAAGTAGGATTTTTTTTTTTAATGAATTAGGTATATGAAGTTACGGGGAAAGAGAAAAAAATTCCCATTCCTATCATTGATCTTTGTTAATATTTAATTTTCTACCAAGCAAGACTAGAAACAAGTAAATAGAACTCTGCTCCCAAATATGGCTATAGAGAAGGTGAAGGAAATGACATTATTTCTCTCCTTTCCCTTCTCTCCCCTCCCTCAGGAGAAACAGAAATACTGACAAAAGGACAACCCACTGTTTTCATTTAATCCTGGAAAATGAGAAACTTGCTGATCTCGATAGCTGACCTTTCAGAGGTGGCCTGTTTGCAGCAGCAATAATGTCTTTGACTCAGCAGCTGCTCATAAGCCAAAACTCACTAGTTTGCCAAGCTAAGCAGGTGGCGGGAAAGACCCTGGGTCGAACAGGTGATGGCTAAAGGAGTTACAGTTGCTGGTGGGGGAGACCTTTTCATCTTTTACCATGTTGTTTCTCATTC